CCTTCACCCCTGCTCGTCGTCTGGTCGATTGTACGTGTGAGGAAAACCTTACAACAATGTGTCAGCACTGCTGTTGGAACCCGCAGAGTAAACAAAATTGTACCAAAATGGGAGGGTCTAAAATAGACGGCACACCGTGCATGAGGGGCGTATGTAATCATGGCACATGTGTGAGCACGCAAACAAATGATAATATTTTCTTCGAAGACAGATTGGCATTTTCCAGTGGATCAGACGATATTCACCAACTGGGACGTATGAGAGCGGTACTTGTAACTTTTGTGTGTGCTATTTGTGGATCGTTGACGCTGAGTTTACAACGAACGCTGCCTATAACTGATGCCCTTATCTAACTTCTTACTGTCACACATTGCTTACCACCTGCAGACGTTTTATTTAAATGCAGAAGTAAATGTGACTGAATAGAGTAATGAAAGATTCTCCCAGTCAAGTGTTCCACATAGTACACGAATAACTGATGCACCGTATGAAGAAAGAATTCGCCAAAAGACAATTACCGTGGTATGGACAGACCAGAGCAAATCATTTTTTTGCGCCTTAGAACAGGGCACAGTCGACTTCGCAACCACATATACACACAATTTGAGACCGAAGATCAGCCGTGTGTACATGTGGATTAGCACCTGAGACAACAAATCAGGTCCTCCAAGACTGTCCCAAATACGACATATCAAGGCGAAACTTTTGGCCAATAGAAACATTAGTGCTAGCCAAACTTGACGGGTCGCTGAGTGAAATACAACAGACAGTGACGTTCAAACTAGAGACAATATTACAGATATAGATAATATATTTCAAGCTAACGAAAGAAGAAGAAGAAGAAAGTGTAAGGCACTCACACAAAGTGAATTTACATTTTCCCTCTACAATTCGAACAGTAATATACATTTGAATTATGTTTTGCCCAGCTTGCTAGCGCAGTTGGTTAAACCTGACTGAGCGGCGACCAGGTGACGAACTCCTTGTTCACGTCTGTGGGAAGGCCAAAAAAAGCCACATTTCTCCCAGGTTTACCGTACCTTTCATGGAATCAAGGCCGGAGAGTTGCGATATTCATAGTATCGAGCCAAAGTGTTAACAACTCATGGTTTCTGTATATTATTTTTTTTTTTTTAAATTATGTTTTCACATAGGAACTTTCTAATCTAATCTCGTACTGTGACTTCTATCCCACAATGCATAAATAGCAGCCGTTGTAAAGGCTATTTGAAAACCTTGAGAAATAATTTTTAAGTACATTTAAAAACTGACATTGCTGCCTTCATGTATTGCCCTATTGTATTGTAGGCCGGGGGGGGGGGGTGTCTTTGGGCCTAAGGATTTAAGCCCATATGGCTTGTGCTGTCGCCACGGACTGTACAGGTTATGATTTTATTTTTGCGCCCAACAGAAAAAAATCTCCAACCTTACCGAGGATTTGAACCCACGTCCCCGGCTTGAGAGTCCAGCGTTCTAACCATGCGACCAGCCAAACACTTATAAACGCAATAAAATATGACAAAAGAGGGCAATACTATACTACACAAACTAGAGGAACAAATGTTACCATAAACCGAGTGAAAGATTGTTCAATAGAATATAGGCAGAGAGAAAAAATCCCACATTAATGTAAGAAAGGAATAATTGTTAGTAACTGTAACAACGCCGGCATTGATTGGGCGATGAAAACAGTGGTTAGATCTTGATTTTCCAGGACAATGAACGAATGAATATGTGTGTGTGTGTGAGAGAAAGTGAGTGTGTGATTTCCGGGACAAAGAATGAACGATTGTGTGATATGTGTATGTGTGTTTGTGTGTGTGTGTGTTTGCGTGTTTAAAGATGTTTTTTTAGTTAAAAATAAAGAAACGTGGTACCATTTAGTGTGTTTTGGTACCTGTTTTTTAAAGGTGGTGCGATCCGCAGCAGAACAGCAGACAAACAGAAGTAGTTGTAATTACAAACAAAACTGACACTTCAAAAGACAACATGAAAGTAAATGGGACAAACCTCAAGCAAGTTAATATGATTTAGTACTTGGGTAGCCTGATAACATCAGATGTAAGATGTATTAAGGAAGTGAAATTTCCAGTATCTTAAGCAACGGCAATATTTGACGGAAAACATGTTATGCAATCTTTCCTTGTCAATTAAAACGAGATAGAGAATTCTTTAAAGCTATATAAAACCTATACTGGTATTCGGAAGTGAATCATGGACAGTTGGTAGAAGTGACACATTATTTGGAAGCTGCAGAAAAGTGCTGTTTTAGAGGAAAGAACGATACTCAGGACAGATAGAAAGAGTAATGAAGACGTCTTGAGAGAAACTTACTCACGAGGAAAACTGATTGTCCACATCAGAGAGAGACAATCTACAGTCTTTAGTCATGTGATGAGAAGGAGAAAACTGGAGTACATCGTGACGGTAGGAAAGTTGGAGTGGAGGAGAGGCAGAGGAAGACCAAGAGAGAAGATGCTGGCCAGTCTGACATCATGAC